ATATACACACGAAGCAACTATACAATTGCCCTAAAAAGGTGACATTTCATCTTTTACTTTTGATGTTTCCAATCAGATAGGTCTCCACAATAAGTATGGGGAAGCAAGGGGAATTTTACTTCAGTAGGCTAAAGCATTTTACTGCCACAAGGCTAAGGGGAGGGAACTAAGAGATTTTTAATAGAAAAGCAAGCCCTGAAAAGATTATTTCAGTATTTAAAAACTCACCAATACATAACAATAAGCCAGCCAATCTAAAACTACATCTTTTGTTAATGTAACCCTCATGGGGAAGTACCTAAAATGGACCACCTGTTAAGACTGGATTAGCAGAGCTTTATAAACTGTGACAAGGGATTTAGAAAACACCATCACACGCCACCACCACTTCCCCCCCGTGATGCACAAAAGCAGAAAAAGCTTAGGGAAGAAGCCACTAGCAAAGGGGTGGGGGTGGAGAGGGAGGGAAGGAAAGAGGGAGTTCATTATTTTGTAAGCTATGCTTGCTCCCTCCCCTACTTAAATTTAAGGAGGAAAAAAAAAAAAAAGAGAGTTGCTAGTTGCTGATGTCATCAAAGTGCTAACATTAATCACTCACAGCATCACTGGTACACGCACGAGAGGGATATAACAGGGATGTTCAGGCAGTACACTGTCCAAGGGGAGGCAAGGAAGAGAGTGGGGAAAAGACATTTTTTCTCCTGTACATTCTTTGAAAAGCAAGGCAACAGCGTCTTTAGACAAGATGTGCTCTTGCATGAATTTAAGTAGAAGAGACAAAGAATCCATGCCACCAGCAGCATCAGAGAAAAAAACTGAAAGCACCAAGCAATGAGAATTCAAGTCCAGGGAATCTGAGGGGAAGAATACGCAAACTGGCAAGCAGAGATCAGGCAGGAAATAACTCTTGTGAAAAGGGAGGCAGAAAACTTAGCGTTTATGTCATTTTCACAGCAGTACCACCGTATGAAAATTCTGTTCTGAAATTTCTGTCAGGAAGTGGCGGTAAGTACTGACTTTATCATCTATAAACCATCAAATGGGTTTTCCAAACATTTACATCTGAGTAATTATGTGTCTTCTAATAACTGTTGGTTTGTGTCAATAGAAATGTATTATTGTTATTTAAATAAAATCCAGCCATCCTACTTAGAAAATGCCGTGAGGATAAACTATTGTTTGCAGACTGTATTAGGAAGTGTTCTATAAAATTACAATTTTAAGTAACTAGGATCTACCAGCTAAAGAGAAGACAACTGAGCAAGTAAAAGCTCTGTTCTTACTAATGATGTGCCCCGTTTTAATATCTGGAAAAACTGGGTAGATGCCAGAATGTGTCTAATAAGTTTATTTGATAGCTAACTCAGTTCCTTTATATTGTTGCTGTATCAAAAAGGGTGCACTTACCACACAATTAGAACGGCAGCATCTACCCAGATCAGTCATATCTAAGGTTTCACATTGTAATGAAAATAAACACACATCTTTTTCTTCCCACTTCCCAGTAAATATAGTCCAAATGCCTCAAGCAACAATTTTCATAGTCACAGAATTCTTACAACTAATGTAATGATCAACATCCCACTAAAATAATATATATATTTGCCAGCCTCCTATCTAGAATAAAATACAATATAAGTATTAGAGAATATTTTCAGAATATATTATGAGCAAATCTGACAAGGTTTCTTCATCTGGAGAATTTCCAATAGCCAATTGTTATTTAACCAGGAGACTTAACATTTTAAACCTAATCACAAAAAAAAAAGTAAATTTCATTTTTATGATGAAGTCATAAACAATGAAATACAGTGTTACTGACATGGGCATTTATCTTCATTTAAAAAGTAAGAAACTTTTCATGGTGGGAAAAACTTTCACATCAGTGCCACTAGAAAGTGACTATTAAAGTAAAAGAATCATATTAAATTGCTGAGGAAGGCTCTTCTTCAAAAGTTATCCTCAACAACAGTAAAAAGCAAAAAACCTATGCCAAAAAAATGAAAACACTCACTGGCTGTTATGATGTATACTTTAATAGATTTGTTTGGAAAATTGTAGATTGCAGATGTTTTCTTTTCACTATTTACAGTGGTAACAAACTGAGAATCTCAAAATACTGGCAGTTTTCCCAATTTTAATTTTATCATGAGGAGTATAGTTTAGGGCAAACAGACTATGAAATTATCTACAATCACTTGAACAGAAAAGAGTGTTAGTCATTCTTCTAAAATACCACTGATCATCCAAAAGGTATGCTGTAGTGAAAGTTGTTTTTCATCAAAGCTTAGCTTTTTTCCAAGAGGATGACTAGCATCAAGACTAAATGTTGTGATACTGATGCTACATCAGTGTCTGCTCTGCTCTGTCAGTGGGTACATGGGCAAAAAACAGAGAGCATTGGTGAATAAGAAACTAAAGCAAACAATATTGGAGACAAAACAATATGTGCTGATGTTTCCACATGTTGCTTTGTTTTCCAATTCATTAAGACTGGCAAAAATCAAGACTTATGGATGATAGAGGAATTTATGCCTCAATATCCATTCCTGTCGCCCCTCTCTTGCCACTTAACATAAGAAAATTCACTGCTCACAAAAGCAAGCTTTGAGATTATGTATATCACCAAGTAAAATAAAATGCAAGATGCTCAGACTAGAGAGAAAAACAACTGCTGCATTTACTTTTCAGTCATCTGAGAAAAAATACAACTGAAAGGAAGTGGCTCCCCAATTGCAAATCCTGCCAAACATACTGTGTCTCATGAAGACAAGATACAACCGGTCACCTGCACAGGCAGCAGCGCTGGTTGAATTTCTATAAGCATATGTTTATCCTTTCAACTGGGAAAGAAATGCACAGTTTTAAATACTCCAAACTTTATGAAATTCCAGCTCTCGCATTTACATAGCAGTACCAAGATAAGAGCAGTTTCCTAATAAACTCCTTTCCTAAATTGCAGAGGACTACAATTACAATCCACACAACATCCCCAGTGCTGCAGCTTCTACATTACCTCCTTGTAAAACAAACATCTTCCCTTCCCACAGCGAGATCAGCACTGGGAGAGAAGAAAACACCTGAGCAACATCCTGATGGGAATAACCGTCCAAAACATCACAGGAAACACAGCAATGGTAATTTGGCCAAAAATGGCCAGCTGTGCTGACAGCTTTTACAGCATCATGTACCACCCTAACTGGAACAGCATGCTATCCAGTTACTCGAGAAAGAACTTTCAGAAGGAAGAGAGGGTGCCCACCAGTCGTTCCTCCTTTGTTGTTGAAAACCTAACTCCGCTTACGACATACATCGTGTGCGTGACCTGCCAGTCTGCAAACCCCTCCAGCGACCAGTGCAGAGTTTTTAACACACTGGAACGAGACCCAGCATCTGCGAGCAACACTAAGAAAGAGCTGGCACTGGGCATCTGGCTCACCAGCAGCGTCCTGCTCCTCATCATCGCTGCAGTCCTCCTCTACGGCTGCCTGCACCTCGTGTGCCGCAGGAGACGTGAGCGCTTGCAAGGGCCGAATGAGACCTCCAAACAAGACCACGGGAAGGTGTGGACCAAAAGCACAGCGTACGCCTTGGAGGAGCTTGGCAGGCAGAGCCAACTGATGCAGGACACTGAGGAAAAGCATCCTGGTGGCATCCAGCTAGCCACAATCATAGAGAATCCTTCAGTGTGCAAGGAGCCTGTCATGCCGACTTCCAAAAGCCAGGAACGAGTGCCAATGACTGGACAGTGCTCTGCTATAAATTAGAAATCTTTTGTCAGGGAGGAGATTTTTACTACATATGACATCCCAACTGCTTCAAACCCACCTCGTGCATTGTCAGCATTCACAATGAGCACTCCAGCTGCTCATTGCAGTACTCCCGGCTGTACCTCCGGTGTCACATCTATTTCCAACAGCCTATGAGCAGCTAGAGGAACTCAGAGGCAAAGGTTCAGATTCCCAAGAAGTAAGCACTTCAGCCACACTCCATTATTTAAAAATGAAGCATGTAGCAAATAACTGATTAATATTTCAAGGGGTTTTTTTGTTGCTTTTCTTTAGTCTAAAACTGCAAATAAATATGAAAATGAATCAAAAGTGACCAAGAGACTTTTTTGGTTTTTACTAGCATAAATAAAACCAAGTAGAAGTTTTCAGATGGCAACCCAGACCACTACACTACAGACAACTGGAATGTACACTCCAAGTGCCGTGGTTTGCCAGGGTGAATTCTACTCCCACAATCCTGACTGCTTCTCAAACTACACACTACAAATTACTACACTCAGACGGCACACTTTGCTGACCATGGTGTTCTCCATAGCTCCCATATAAATGAGGCCAGTCTCTGCATGTAAGCTAAACTCACACGGATTTCTGTTTGAAAATTCCCCTTGGCCTAAACACGTGCAAGATAGCAACTCTGTAAGGACACTTCTAATGAAACTAAGGTAATATCCTGGGTTACTGTATTTTGCACTCTTCTGCACCCACCATGAGCTACCTTCTACTTCACAGGAAAGTGTCCCTGTAGAGGAAACGGAGTTCAGAGACCCAAGTCCTGGCCCTTCATTCCCTCTTTCCCTTTCTGTTTTAATGATAAAACTCATTCACCAGCTGCAAATTTCTATCCAACCACGCAGTACATTTTGTGTAATGAAGGCAGCAAGGAAGTAAAAACTTGCCATAACACATTTTATTCTTGTAACAAGAAAGTCTGATGATCATCTCACTCTGTCTTGAGCTTCACGGCAAAGTGCCAAGAAAGGTCCTTCAGGCAGAAATCTGTCAACCCTCACAACATGACAAGTCTTACCTGGCTTATATGTGTAAGTTACCCTGTTTTAAATCACTAAAGTGCATTTGTGCTGCATAAAACCATAATAAAAGTTAAGTATTGCTGTATAGCATGGTATGTCTACAAAACAAAGGTATACTGTGACTGCAGGCATTATAAACTGCTATTGACATGAACATACACATAAAGTCAGCTCTTGCTGACACAGCTTGGTTGTACCAGTGAAGGCTGGAGAAGTGCTGGCTGGGCAGCTGCCATCCTTTCCCACTGCACCCTGGAAGCCAAGGGGTTGTATGATTTTGGCAGGAGAGCACCTGCCAAATATTTCATACTAAGCAGTGGGCCTTTCCAGCTACTGTATTTTGACAGTGTTTCCCACAACTTGTGAAAGACATCAACTCTCATATTGCTAGGAAGACACGAGCTGGCATAAGTTTGATTCATTTTCATACCTAACCTAGTAGCAACGAAGTAGAGACACAGAAACCCATGCTGAATGGGGGTGAGTATTAGTTTCAGAAAACACTTCAAAAGGCATCTTCATTGTGTTAAGTTAGCAATAACGTGTTCTTCACCCCCTACACCCTGTTTCCTCCAGCTGACACGTTTTTCTTTGTCTTACATCTCAGTCTTAAATAAACTGTGCAGATGACAACAGTTTACTGCTGTTCCAAATGAAGGTGTTTCATGAAACAGACACTGAAGAGCACTTGTCAGAGCAAGAAGCCAACACTACAGGTTTACTGCTAAAAAGGGGCGGCAGACAGAAAAAAATGCTTTAAAATGATCTTGCAGTCAAATTAACAGTTAACACTTCTCTGATAAGAAGAGAGGAAAACATGATTTTAGTGTTAATACGGATGGAGCCAAGAGACATATATTCTCATCTCTGCCAACATCTTGGGCCCTTGAAATCCTGTTTACTTCTCTGCATTTCTCTTTGTTTATATGGGTTTTAAGGCAGTCTAATACATATATTTACATGCATTTACACATTATACACACATACATATACCATACTGAGAACAAGGAGCAGTTCAGTCTTAAAGCAGTTTTGAGGCAATTCACCTAATGAATTTTGTAATTTATACACAAACACATATATATGAAGACACATGTATATATCAGATTGAGAAGGCAAGGAGCTACCCTGGAAGTGCCCCAAGAATGGGATTTACCTCATCTACATATACAGCCATTTCACCCATAGAGTTTACTGTGCACTACTTAAACATTTATATCACTTCGCAAGCAATGGACCAACTCACACCTGCTACAAATGAGCAATGCACAAGGAGTGTCATCCGACTTCTGCACTGGCTTTGATGTACTCATGTCATCACACACTCAAAGCTACATGTTTCTTTGTCTCTTGCTCAGAAAGTTTTATTACAGATTCATTCAGGTTCATTCTGGCAATTCTGCGTTTTAGTAGTTCACTGTCCAGTTTTAACAGTGATCTAGTAAGGGGCAAACATTCTAAGTGACTATTAAACCCATAACAAGATACAACATAGTGCAAACTGATGTTAATTTGTGCACCAGCAGATGATAAAAAACACTATATTCACACTGAGAAGTATTTTCCAAAGGAGCCTTTGTTCACTAAACAAATGAGTTAGCATCTAACAAAATGCAGAAGATAGATACACAAACATGAAAATCCTTGGAAAATGTTGTATAAACCAGAATGGAAGCTCTTAAATTCTGGTCTACACAGCCTCTATAAAACCAGGTACTTTATTAACACACCAAGTTAGTTTCAAATCCCCAGAAGAGACTCTTTCTTACATGTATATTATTATTTTATGCATCCAGCCCACGTTACCAAATTTCAATCTGCTACTATTAATTTCATTAACCCTACACACACTTCACATGAATAAAAAGACTTTAATGACCTTGCCCAATGAGTTTTTAAAATACTCCAACCCACTTAAAAGGCTGAGGAGCTTTTGGAGGTCAGCTCCTTCCCACCTGACAGCTCTGCTCCCAAGTCAGCCAGGAGAAGCAAGTTGTATCTGTGGGTTTCTGTTTTGCTAATTGGATGAAGATGCCACTCAGAAAACTCTAGATGCAACAGAGAATGTGGACACAACTGTATATGCCAAGCATCAGTTCACATAAATATAGACCAGTTGCTTTGATCCTTCTAGAAATATCTGAGAATATGTGAACACTTTGAAATCAAAACTAAAAATTTCTTTAATTTCTCTAAAGCAAGCACATTGCCTCTGCAAAGCTTCTGCACAAAAGGTATTTAGCCATTACAGTCCGATACATGCATGTTTGAGTGTACACATGCACAAGAAACTACAGTGCTTTTTTCTTGACCTAAATAAACACCATGTATTGTAAAAAACGAAAAATGACCAAACCCAAAACGCTTCCCTCCCCCCCCCAAAAACAAACAAAAAACCCACACAAAACCCCCTAACAATACCAACCAGCAAAGTCCAATAAGGAAAATAAAAAGTCATATTCCTTGGATATATGATCAATACAAAGGACTAACCTAGATATCTTGAGTAGTTCAAGAAAACTCAAAAATACAATAAAATAAAAATACATAGCTACTCTATACCACACTACTATCCAGTCAGGAGGCAGTTCAACAATATAACTGTTAAAAGACCCAAACAAGGATGTGACAAGACAGGCTATATAGCACACAGAATAATATCATGCAGTTATATCACACGCTTGAATGTGTAGCCTCTATCACATAAGAATTAGTCACTTGCTATATACAGCAGAAATGTCCTCCTAGAATTCCATTCAGATACCCTCAATTCCAGAATACTTTAGATTCAAAAATAAAAATACACTCTTGTAAAAATTTAAAACTACAGAGAGACAAGAATATTTGCTAATATCGGCATATCTAGTTATGACATTTGCTCCAGAAGTGCATCTAAGAATCCTCTCGATTGCTCCTGCTCATACAGAAAAATAATCAGATTTCTGAAAATGTATACCTCAGAGTAAAAATTACTAAACTCATTTTAATAATGTAGCCTGACTGATAACTGGGTTCCCCAGGTAATCCTCTTTCACTCACCCCACTGTATCATCACTTAGATAAATTAAGTTAGCAATCTCTGCTAAATTCAATGGTTTTTTTCTCTTTACAGTGCATCTGGTGAACTCCTAAAATAGTAAGGAACACTGTAACTCCAATGTAAGAAAATCCCACTTCCCTGTAATTTACTGTTCCCTGTTGGAGGATAATTGTAGCAAACACTATTCACAGTACCAGACAATCAGCTGTTACAATCCACATTAAAGATGTGACTCTTTTTCCACCTTCCATCATTTTAAAAGCATGAAAGTTTTACAAATGCATCAGATACATTAGGGTTGAAATTTGTAACTTCTGAGCTCTCTCTTCAGCTCTCAAAAACCAGCTTGCTGGGCAAATCACTTCACAGAGATTGCACAGTATAACCAGGATACGATGTGCAGAATATAACAGTAACACAAGGACTAATTATGCTCATGTTTAAGTAGGAGCTAGAGAATGAAAGTATCTAGATGAGAAAATGACGAAGTACACGTATAAATTACAAGGATAATTGAGTACGTAATTTTAAAACTTTTTTTTTTAGTCAACAATCCTCTAATCTGATCCTGTCCTGGGTTCAGCTTAAACCACGACAGATCCTTACGCTTTTATTTATCTTTCCCATACTTTTATTCTGCCACACCGATACTCAAGAAAACAATGCAAAATTAAGAGTGACATCTTGATAAATATTCCCAAATGATTTGGTGAAGATACCACTGCTGGTTTTTACTGCTGTTGGAAGAAGATCGGTATTTCTGACTGGATAGTAAAAATGCAGACATATGTGCTATGCCTTTAACTGTTGTTAAGACTTGGGTAATAATTACGAAGCATAAGAAAATAAATCTGCAGTGATCAGGGAGAATAAATCTATCCCTCCAACATACAATGCTGCACACGTGAGCAAAGCATTGGTCCTGAGAATACAGGCTAACTTTCCTCCCTTGGGTAACTCTGTGAAAGCCCACGACTATTCTCTTGGGCCAAGTACTCTCTCAACTTGTCACCCACATAAGCTCCTTTCCAACCTCAGCACTGGGAGTTGCCTTAAGGCGCACAATATGTGACTGCATGTCATGTACACTTCTATTGAAATCTTGCATAAACCTTCCAGGCACTCCTAATCTACAAAGCAAGAAAGATGATACTAATAGAGGAGATGACATAGCCGGAAGGCCAAGTTCATCACAACAACTTTGAGGTCCTTGGGTTGAAGATGCAAAGAAATGTTACTTTTTTCTTTTTCTTTTTTCCTTTTATTTTTTTTTAATAATTTAAGCAGTTTGATATCTGCTAGTTTGTGATGGTCAGAATCTATATTCCTTCTATGTCAGATAACATCTGAAGCAGTTTTCCCTATATTTTCCCTTTTCTTCTGCCATCACAGTCTTCTTCAGTCACAAGGGAGCAGCTGCACCCAAGATGGGCTCTTGCTCTCATTTCACCAGATTACTAATTAATCTTTTTCTTTGAGTCTGCTTTGCCACTATAAGCAACTGTGCAATGCAAAGTGGTTGAGAGAAAGACTTATTTTTAGCTATGTCACATAAGACTAACCATCAGACTAATCACTTGCACTTTGGCTGAAACATATGGTGAGCTTCACAGCAAAGTCTGAAAAGAGTGTGTATGTCGAAATTAAAATACTCGCAAATGTATTTAAGTCCATTTTTAATAACTTTCCATAAGATACCTTTAAACATTAGCAAACTGTAAATATAAAGGGAATTAAATCTGACCTTTGATCCATAAAGATACTGTGGCTGTGCATTAGGCTGCTTATCTCTCTGAAACTCCTGAGAAAATGGTAGCACGGTCCGAACAAATCTGTAAAAACAAAGTAAAGAATTCATTAATTATACTTGGGTTAGTAGATGTGTGCCTAACACACCTTAGCCTGTACAATACTGCTTTTATCTACATATAAAACCAAAGCCAGATCAGTATCCTTTCAGCCCAAGCTGAAACTGGGGAAGCACATGGCCTGCATTGCCCAAACCCTGGACACAAATCATAATGCAGTTCTGTATCACTTACTGGGACCCTGTCTTCCAGCAGTGTGCGGGGTCCCAGAATATTTTTCACTTCTACTCTAGCCCAGCCCAACAAAAAGAGAAGCAACTAACAAAGTAGCAGGAGCCTCTCTCAGAGACTAAGGAAGTTCCCTGTGCTTCCAAAATTAAGCCCTTGAGAATAAACTACACCTTCAAAGAAGAACATGACGTTTCTATTTAATGTTTTGGAGCTTTTCCCCCCACCAAAGAAACTCACAGCAGGAGAAATACCTTAGGTTAAGACCTTTTTAAAAAGCCAGGAAGAAGGTTATAATCCTTGTAGCAAAATTAATTCTTCAGAAGTTTGATCATACTTTAGTGTGAGCATGTACCGATACAAATCATATTTAATTTTACCTTTGTATCTTGTTAAGGGGATGACAAGAGAACTAGAAAGATACGGAATACTGCAAAAGATCAGCTCAAATAGCCTACTCCAAGCTGAGAGCCCCAGAGTCTGAAGAACGCTGCTTAGGCAGAACTCTCTGGGCACGAGTCCTCTCAAGAACAAGCCCCACAGGCTTACTCCCCTGATATTGCCTGTTAACTGTGTAGTGTATGTTTTGCAGCACTACAGTTTTAGTGGAGAAAGAAGTTAATCAACATCTACAACAATTCCAATTCTGCTTAACTTTACTAAACAGGTAAATTACTGGTGCATGTGTTTATGGGTTGGATGACTATTTCGTTTTTTAACTTGATAAAAAGGATTTCATGGTAAATGGTGCAAAGCTGTATATACACAGGGAAGAGGAAAAACAGCTATTTAAGAAGCGTACATCAAATGTTTGTATCAGGTCAGGCTGTTCTGAGTGATAGCAGAGTAAAATAAATGCATCCGGGAAAAGGTTCCAGAGAAGGAAGTTTGCAATACATTATAATATCATAAGATACAGTTATATCTTGACCCATCTTTGTTTAAAATATGTTTGAATTTAATCAAACTAAATGATTAATATTTTTTCTAGAAAGAACACAGAAATCCCATTTTTAATAGATGCATTTTCTAGCTGAAAACAAAACTAGCCATGGTAATCAACAATTGTTTCACCCAAGCATGTATAAATTGCACCATGTTGTTTACAATTATTTCCATTGTGTTTTATTTCTGAGTAATCTGAATGATTCTTGTGAGAATCTATAACTTCAGAACAAGGTTTTTTGTATTTTTCAACCTGCTCAAATACAGGTATACCCCCCAGTTTCAGCTACTTGCTCATATGTATTTTAGTCCTGACTTTCCAATAGTACTTCTACTTGCTGAAGTCTAGAAAGTGCTTGCTTTTAGAGCTTTGAGGGGAAAAAAAAGGGTAATTTATGCATATTATTTTTAATACTACATATATAATTCAAATCTCCTTACGTCTACATTTCCCTAGTTTCCACGTTTTTCCCCTTCTCTCTCACTTACACAGCAAGTGACATTTCCTCTTGAGATTACTTGAATCTGCTCTCTGCACAGATACTTCATTAATGAGTTTACCAGAGATGCTGTAAACATTTGATGGAATTTAGAGTAATCTGCAACATATGACAGTCCCAAAGATTACTCTATTTTTTCCCCTCTTTCTCTCCAAATCCTATTCTTTTTAACTGACATCAATTTTTAAACCCTAAGAAAACTTCTAAAATGAAAGAAAAACCATGTCATTTGAGATAAAGCTGGGTTTCAGTGTGCAGACGCATTGGGCAAGAGCTGATCCGCTCCCACTAAAACCCTTACAAGGAAAAGAATGTTTCAGAATATAAATGTGGGTGCATCCCATGACTTTGGAAGCTGAAATTATAATTCATAGTATTTTCAAAAAGGTATTATGAATATATTTGAATTACAATGCCATTAGTGGTTGTGAGCAAACAAGTCAGACTGTACTTGGATTGAGAAGAAATCACAGCCTCAGAAATCAAATACTGCAGAAATACTTCTGAGACACAGACCCCAAGTTTCACTAGCTCTGTACAAGCAGAAGTAACTCCTGTGATTTCCCCAGTGCTCCTCTACATTCTTGGGGGTTTCTCCAGCTCTAACATTTTAGAGTAGAAGCAAAACAGTCTTAAAGCTTTCTTAAAGACTTGAAGCAAGCATCCATTTTATGCTTTCATGGTGAAAGATGCTGAGAGAAGAAAAAAGAGGTTAAGAAAAGGAAGTAGGAGCAAGAGATACAGTCACTTGTTGTCCTACGAAGGGGCTATGGCTAAGACTGAGGATACAACACGCTAATGAGAGTGTGCCATTCTAGCAGGTATGTCTAATCCAAATATGTAATTCAGATTAATATTAGAGAATTCTTCCCTCAAAACTAAGGGCTACATAGAAATCTTCACAGTTCAGCATCATCTGCTATTCTTCAAAGTTTTTCAGTGTGTGTGATTTCTTTTTGACATTCTGCTGGCTTGCTTCCTCCTGCTCCTCCTCCAAGAAACAGGAACATCTCTGCAAAGGACTGAAGCTCTTTGAACACCAATGCTAAAGCTAGGCAAATTTTTACTTTCCCTCGGATGCTGCTGGATGCAGGTTTTGGCATACTCCAAGATAATCAGTGCTTTTCATTTTTAATCAGTGTTGATGATCTCACAGCAATTTATCCATTTTAATCAAAGCAGGTTGTAAGCAGTCAAAGTAGATTAAACAGATGAAAAGCTTGCTGGCTTACCAGAGCTTTGCAACAGTGATTACTAAAGGACAACATGTACCCCAAAGTATTTTAGGGATCAAATAATTTTATATTGGTGTTTCTGATACCAACCAAGAAGAAGTTCACAGTGAGCACTTCACAAACTAACCTAAATGATTCTATGATTCTAATTACCATAATCTGTTTAAGAAAATAAGGAGAAATCTGAAAGAGACCACTTCAGTCAATGAGCCTGCCTACTGCAGGCACCAGATCAGACAGGCAATCTCATTCATAAACTTGCTGAGCTTCATCTCAGATGTAAAAAGATAGCACAATCCTCCCTCCTGGCTCAAACAGAAGTATGAGAAGTATGTCCCCTTCTGCACTTCCTTGTCTAGTTGGTTTGAACAATTTTAACTTCCAGCCATCTCAAATTAGTTTGTCACATCTACCAGATCTAAGGGTAGCCTTACACCTCCTCTTAGTGAATGCTAGATCTAATTCACCCTTCTTGAACAAGATAGAACAGGAAGCTACGAACTGAGGTGTGAGGAAACAAGCAGCAAACAGCATAAAAGAGTAACAGATACCTGCCACTTCATTGCTATCACCTTTCCCTTTGGCAGAAAGACCTATTCTTTTGGTGGTGTTTTTGGGGGTATTTTTTAGGTGGGGGAAGGTAGTTGACTACAGTCATGCCCACTTTGCATGAGCCTATATCCCTAGACCATTTGGCAATTTGTAGCAGAAACTAGGTAGCTTTCATTGCCAGGGCTGCTTTTCAGGTTTGCTCCAGGAGTATTTGAAAGGGCTGAAAATATTTCTGAACCGTGACTGTCAGAGTATATGCAAGACAAGAAGACACAGCTGTTCTCTTGTGAAAACTAGTCTCAAAAGCACTATGAGAGAGACAGAGAGCTTGCAAAGAAAGGGAGAGACGCAGGCAGGCAGGAAGAGTGAAAAATAAAAAGCTGGTGTTTTTGTTCATTCCGTGACAAATCTGTATCCTCAGAAGACATATGTCATACTGCATTTGGAAGAGTGCTATACATGTGAATTTTTAGCAAAGAATACAGATTTGGATAATATGTTAAGAGGAGATGCCAATGACACCAACCTGTGTGGTGCAGTCAACCCGCTGGAGGGAAGCGATGCCATCCAGAGGGACCTTGACAGGCTTTTGAGAAGTGGGTGAGTGCAAACCTCATGAAGTTCAACAAGGCCAAGTGCAAGGTCCTGCACCTGGGTTGGGGCAATCCCAGGCACAAATATAGGCTGGGCGGAGAATGGACTGAAAGCAGCCCTGCGGAGGAGGACTTGGGGGTGTTGATTGATGAGAAGCTCAACATGACCCACCAGGGTGCTCCTGCAGCCCAGAAGGCCAACCATATCCTGGGCTGCATCAACAAGAGCATGGCCAGAAGAGGGCCATGAAGATGATCAGAGGGCTGGAGCACCTCATTTTCTTTACTAATTCTAAGCTGGTCTTGTCCTTCCATAATAGCATGTTTTGTGTTGAGGACTGAGAGAAGAGCAACCATGAGACAACCTAGACATTTATTTGGGTTGAGGATTTTCTATGCTTTCTTGACACAAATGCTAAAAGCTTTCTGGAGACAGTAGTCAGACTTCTATCTCCATCTCACAGAATCGTAGAATGATTTGGGTTGGAAGGGACCTTAAAGATCACCTAGTTTCAAACCCCTGCCATGGGCAGGGACACCTTCCACTAGACCAGGTTACTCAAAGCCCCATCCAACCTGGCCTTGAACACTGCCAGGGATGGGGCAGCCACAGCTTCTCTGAGCAACCTGTGCCAGCGCCTCACCACGCTCACTGTGAAGAATTTCTTCCTTGTATCTAATCTAAATCCACTCTCTTTCAGTTTAAAGCCATTCCGTCTTGCCCTGTCACTATTTGCTCTTTTAAAAAGCAAGTAGTCATGAATCTCAAAACCTCACCCAGCTTTAAAAAAGGGACTGGACAAAGCAATAGGAAAAAAAAAAATACCTGTAAAGGGCCAGAAATGCACTAACCATCCCCCTATTTTTGTTCTGTTGAATATTCAGGAAACACCTGAGCATTGCTAGAGGCCAGGACTTCTTCTGGGAAAAAAAATCACCACAACTCTCTTGTTTTCATACTCGGCCTTTTCATGCCTGCTGCCAGTGTCAGGACACTGGACTAAGAGTGCTTTGACCTCACCTCCAGTTCTTATGCTCATGCCATTATCCAAAAGTTTGTTCTCTTTCTTTTGTGATCGACAAGAGGTAGATGAAAAACATCCTTGGATTTCACTGCTAATGCCCACCTGCAGAAGTCCCCTCTCTCATCTCCCCATTCCTTCTCCACAAGCTGTTGCGCCCAAGTCTAGACCCAGCTGTGCAGCTGGCCAGCACTAATGTGACTGAATTTCAGAAAACCAACAACTGCAATTATTAAATTGCTAAATCTTTTAATACCAGCATCACTTTTTAATCTCAATACATTACCAGATATAAAAAAATACTCCTAAGTCCCAAATAACCAAACATGAATGTGTTTCAATACTTCTGCATGAACAGCCTTAGCCTTTAAACCAAACCTGCAGGGTTCCTAAACACTTGAACTCTTTTACAGATGTTTGAAATTATCACGTTCAAGCATTCTTGGGAAAAGAGAGTCAAAAGGGACTGGATACAAGTCAATCTGACCAAAACAGTAGCTTTAAAAGAAGTGTCCTTACACCTAGGCTGTGGTGAAATTAATAAAGGCCAAGCCACAGGTGTTCCATACTCCTGGGAGCAATACCTCCAACCCCTCAGCACCAAGTAACCTCTCTGCTTTTCATTGTGCTTACTTCTCTTCCCTCCAGCCTTTCATTGTTACTTTTCTTCCTTTGGTTTCACGCAAGATATTACCAACCAAGAGTCAGGAATTAAACTGGCAGCTCTCACAATGCTCCTCACTATGTGCTCCTGCATTTGCACACAAGAACCTGTACAGCTGAATGCAGAGAGAAGGTTCATGCAAACAGCAAGGCAGCAATAGACATAATGAATGTGCTTAAGAACTATAAAAGGACTAGAAACTCCCTGTTCCCTTTCCCTTCTCAATGGGCACCGTACAGCATGTGCAATACACATCAATTCTACACTGCTGTTTTTGACTGAAATCAAAGCAATTCTGTGATGAAATTGGACACATGGCATGCATACTGCCTAAGATCTGTCTCCCTTTACCATCTCTTTAATTAATTATCCTTAATTAATTACCCAATAAGCTTGAGGATCAGTCTAACTCCATTTGCGTGTGTGCTTTTTAAACGGGCAAGCAACAGTCCTACAGGATCTTGCTGGTGTCCTTTGGAGTTCTACGCTTCCTTACCAAGCGCTGTGGTCTGCAGTATGTCAGTCCTTATAGCCCATATAAGCACAGACTGAACTTACAGGAGGTATTGAACATCTTTCATTAAGGTTGACAGGTAAAGGATCAGCATTTCATCAATATTTTTTTCTAATATTGTATTTATATGACTCTTAGTACATCCCACTGAATAGTACACAGTAGTTCCCTCAGAAATACATTCAACTTTCCTATGCAAACAGATTCATATAACAGAAGTTTCTTGGATAAAACTTAACCACAAAAAAGACTCCCTTTTTTTTTTCTTTGCAGACAGAATCTTGGATCTAAAATACAACATAACCATCACAGAACATGTTAGACAGGGGAAGCTCTCCAAGGAGACAGTGAAAGATGAGAACAGGCTTCCTCTTCTTCCTACAGCTCAATATTCAATATCACTTTACTGTCACTTCACAGTGCTTTAACCAAAACTTGACTAAAGGCTAAAAGCAACACAAATCCTAAAAACAGCACAGAATCAGGAAGCCCAGAAATGCGAAGTCTCAAGCACTGCGCATTCTACTCATTCAAACTTTAGATCCCACCTGCCTCTTTCTACTTCTATTACTCACTCTCCTTAAAGGCTCCAACTGTAGTTGCAGTGAACACTGAACTTCCCTTCTCCAGTAGACAATCCTTTCCTTCACATCAATGCACAATCAGGAATATAAATTTATTTCCATTGTCTCACAGCTGTGGATCCTGTTTACCAAAATACCTTCCTAGTACGCACTTTGCAGTATTTTTGGACACACTTTATTTTTCAGCATCACAGCTAAGTCATTAAAATGCCACAATTTGGATGCTGTGGTTACGTTTGACTTCTTTTGTGGACAAATAACAGGCTTTCATACATTTGACAGTACTCAGTAAAATGACTCATGCAGTTTTATTTCAAGTAAAGCATTAGAGGCAGAAAATACACTAAATGAAAGAAGATGGACTTGTTAGCATCTGCGAGGAAAGAAGTTGCAGAAGGGTGGTAGAAGAACTGCTGCAGACAAAAGGCTGCCATGCTAACCTGTTAGTGGATCCGTTGTAGCAGTAGTTTGGAAGGAAATCATAATTGAGTTCCCAAAAGACATGAAGAGTGATTCTTCCGTAAGGGGCTGACACATTGTGATTGGCTTCTCTGAACATGGCATCAAAGCTGTCCAAGGTCATATATCTACTCAGAAGCTTGTGAGTCATTTTGTTTATCTCTATCAAGCCATCCAGCTCCTGCAAGAAAACAAGAGGAAGGAGAGTCATCAGTGCATTTAATAAAGTGGAGAAACTCAGTAAAGTACATAAATAACCTTGACTAAATAGAAGACTAGAAATAAGTCAAAATGAAAGCTGACTCTCCCCACCATCTCTCACTTTGATAAAAGCTGGAAAGAAACAGTGGTCTTGGGATAATTTCCTAACTATCTCTCACCAGACCACTCTGAGACCTTAAGGGTATTCATTAAAATCGGTCCACCCTGCAGATGGGTCTCAAACACAGATCTGTGCCAACTCTTTTTCCTCTAAGCAGAAGATAAAATTCCAATATTCAAAATAGAGTCAGACATAGGCCAAGAAGTATCTTCTGCATTTCATACTTAACAAGATATCACAACACCATTTCTGTAACTGGTTAACTAACTTTTGTAGTACTAGTAGAAATAACACCACATTTACCATAAATCAATCTCATGGTTTCCTCTAGTGAAGAATGTACTAAGATGCAATGAAAGAGCAGACCAGGTATTTACAAATGTGAAGTTATCCACAAAATCACTAGCTGCAGACTACACAACTATACAGGAGCGCTGCCCTTCATAATGTTTCTCTTCTCAACAAGAAGCTCCTAGTATGGTTTCTGGCAATTAAATTAAAAATAAAAATAAAATTAATAAAATAAGTCCATCTCTGACACCAGACACTGAAAACACCAAACAAAAAAAAAAATCCAAAAAATCCAAGCACTGTTTTTAAAGATTGTTGTGCAATGACTTAGTGAAGGAATGCCCAGTGGCTTTGTTCAGCTGTGCATCAAACTACTGGCCATCTTCCTATACGGTGCTGTCAGATTTAACTGCTCCGTGTTTCAAAGGATTTTCAAACCTGTAAATAACAGCTACTTTAAGAGAAAAAGAACCATTACGATTGGTTTTAGAGTATTCAATCTGAGGGGAAAAAATAGCTGTCTTTGAACTACCTTCATGTAATTATTTAGCTTGAAAATAGCAGAAATTACTGGTTAGTTAAGCTCTTAGCATCAGTTTCTCACTTAGGAAACTAAGTAGATTTCAGCAAAATTATTATGCACTAGAAAAAAAGGAGAGGAAAATAAAAAAGGAGCACAATGGAGGGACAAGCTCTGAGCCCTGCCACTTTCTAACACAAGAAAGAGTGAGAACCTGTGACCCAAGGAACATGTCACCAACAATTTCTGTTCACCTAGCTACTAAGAAGAGCCTGCACATAACAAAGAAAGACTGCACTTCAGTAATTCACAGGTTATAACACCAGGCACTGGAAAGTTAAGAGGCTCAGTATTTGATTTATCTTCAGTAAAGACTGAAATTAAATGAAGGTGGTTAACTGCATGACAAAACCCACATTCTTAAAAAACATATTACAGAAAGACCAATGGTAAACTTTCTTGCATAACTTTAATTTATTTTTCCTTCCAGCAGAACTGAACGTGTCTGATATTTTTCTTGTTGACTGCATATTTACTTTCCCAATTCATGCCGCCTGGAAATAAATACTTTTTTTTTTAGCACTTTAATCAGGAAACTAAATCAAAAAGACACCTCAATATTGCACAGATGCTCTTCTTCCACAGGCACAAGTCAGATCTTGTTCTTCCACAAAAACCCTATTTTTGTCATGCTACGAAACCAAGCTGCCTGCGTAAATAAACTCATTTTGATTCTACCAAGCACAAGGCTGTTTTGTTTTGACCTCCAATTTATCTATAAGCACGGACAGAAGTGGTCATTTACAAAGATTTAAATCACAAGAATGCTCATTTTCCTTGATTCCTCATGGCTCCTAGTATATAATAGTATAACAATCCCCCCATACTCAGCACTGGTGAGGCTGCACCTCAAATCCTGTGTTCAGTCTGGGCCCCTCACTACAAGGAAGACATTGAGTTGCAGGTCCAGAGAAGAGCAATGAAGCTGGTGAAGGGCTTAGAGCATAAATGTCTTCTGAGGAGCAGCTGAGGGAACTGGGGTTTAGTCCGGAGAAGAGAAGGCTCAGCAGGGACCTTATGACTCTACAACTATCTGAAAGGAGGATGGAGAGCAGAGGTGGCTGATCTCCCAAGTAACAAGCAACACAAGAGGAAACAGCCTCAAGCTGTACCAGGGGATGTTTAGACTGGATACTACGAAAAAATTTCTCCACTGAAAGGGTGCTCAGGCACTGGCACAGGCTGCCCAGGCAGAATCACCATCCCTGGAAGTGTTCACAAACCATGTAGACAAGTACCTTACTGACATGGGTTAGTGGTGGACTTGGCAGTGCTGGGATAACGGTTGGACTTGATGATCTTAAAGGTCCTTTCCAACTTTGGTCCTTTCCAAGGCATAGGATCATAGAATTATGATTCTATGATTCTGTGCCTTCTTTACAGGTGTTATTTACACCTTATTCCCAAGGCCCTTGGTTGCATCAGGTTTTGGTTTGGTTTTGTTTGTTTTTCTGGGCAAGGAAAGAATAAGATTCTCTATCTCAACAGAACTGGGACTTGCAGAGCCCCATGTATGGCAGCATACTCCAGAGCACTGCATCAAGTCAAGCCAAAGCACTGTTTGAATGGAGATGCAGATTAAGGCATGGGGAGAAAAAAAATCATAGCACATCAGAATTAATAAAGTCCATAATATACTACAATGACAACAGAGGATTTTCCAGTATAATTTAAGATATAGATGGAGGTGACTAAAAGAATGCGTTCTACAAGACTAAGCTGTTTCTCTAGAAAGAAGTATTGTCAATTTAGACTTAGTAAACCAGACAAGATAGCCAGAGAAATTTTTTTTTTCTTCTGGCATTAAAAAACAAATACAAATTTATAATAAGGAATAAAAAAAGGCTATATGCCCATCATTCGCAATGCAATAAATAAAAATTAAATTAACCCAAAACAAAACTAGCATCTAGATCCCAAATACAGTGTCAGTGTTCTGGCAAAACTGCAACACAACACTCACCACAATGGAAGTCAAATCCTCACTTTCAAATCGTCCGATTGCCAGTTCCATTGACCTGTACATGGCTGCTGAAATTCTCTGTGTGATCAGTCGGTTCAGATCGATTGACCTACCCAGAAGCTAAAGAAAAATATGCTATGAAGTTTTGAACTGAAAATTAAATTATGAGACAAGCTGTACAAGGACTATGAGACTCCACAGATTAACAGACTCTCACATGGTAAACTCGCATTCCAAACACACAGAAAGAAAGCAGATGGACAAATGTTATAAATTCATGAACAAATGAGGTACTAAAATTTACATCCAATTCTCACAAAAAGAAGCAAAATCACATGTTGCATTTACGTCTAAGTATTTATATCAGCATTTTATGCTTCCATGACATTATGCTGACAACATATTGAAAACTGCTGAAAGACATTACTAGGAAGACAACGCTACCACATATGACATTCCTATTTGGCTTGTGTTTGCTTAACTGCAACAGACATTGGCATTAAACACGATCTTTTTTTTTTTTTCTTAATTTACTCCTTCATATGACAAAAAAGCTGATCTCAAATGTCAGTTACACCACTTGGATCATGGAACATAAAGCACAGAAAGAGCTTTATATACCTACAAAAATCAACATCACTGGAAAATTTCCAAGCAACTCGAATACAGAGTAGGAGTTAACTCACTTGGACATGTCTCTGTTTCAGCAGTGTCTCGTAGCGGTTGGACTGTAACAACTGAATGGTTGCTCCCTGATTCTTGCATTCGGAACGTAATCGTTTATCCAGAAGCAGGCTATTAAGACAGGAAGAAAACGCTTAAAGTATATTAGACGGAAAAGCAAGAGCAGAAATCCATAAACAAACATTCTCATTACTGGAATAACTACCTGCCAGCCATTGCCTTGTAGTATGCAAATATTTGGTCTGCCAGCTTGTAGACAAATTGGTCAAAACACAGGTTTACCTTGGGGAGGAAAAAATGTGTTTAGAGATACCTGAAATTAAAAGAGGGGAGCTTCTCCAAGACCTCCCACTGTTTATAAAACATAATTAAGAAACTTAATACATCCATATTTCCCAGTATAAGAGAACTTGACATTCAGCTTTCAGCATTTATGTGATGCATTTTGCACAAGTCTACAGGTTTCCTCGCAACGTGCCACCCAACCTGTTACCCATCTTCTGGTCTTTCTTCTCAGTTTGTGTATTATCTCCAGCTGTTCTGATTCTCTTATAATAGTCTTGTCTTTTAGCATCATTTTCACATTCAGGTACAGACTACTTTTCTCCCACAGGTAAGGTTACTTTACCTCTGCCTCAATTTCATCATAGAGGAACTGCTTCTTAAATTTAGTAAGTGCATAATGAGCACTGTCATTATAAAGGTCCAAAGAATACAGAACATACCTGAATGAAAAAAAAAAATAAATTAAAATTAAAGAGTTACATGTCTGTACAAATTATGATGGTGCAGTCAAGGTGTTGGAAGGCAGTCAATGCTGCAAGCTACATGTGGTTCATTTTTAATTTTAATTATTACTCAAAAGTATCACATTTTCTCCATTAAGAAAGCTTTTGTTATTTCATGAAATTCTATAGGTAAGTTTCCAGTCTGAAACTTGGTTTCTAGATGTAGCTTTCCATCAAAATGGAACTATGCTTCTACCACTAGGCATTAAATTTGTCGGTTTTGAGGAGTAAGTAAGGAGAACTCACTCAGGGAACAACATATTTGGCTGGTGCAATAATACTTATATGAAAGGTTTCATATTTCAATTATTCACTTCAAAAAGAAAACTCTGAAAAATCTGGAAATTAGCAAATATAAGGAAAATCTTACAAATGTTTAGAACACCTTCTCAGTGACTGCTTGTTAAACAGCAGTAACATTATAATAAGGAATGGCAATAATTAAGAATAATCATTCAGTGGAGGAGCGCAAGTAAGTCTTACTCCATCATTGATGCCTCTTTGGTCTCCAAAATATGGTCCGTCAGAATCCAAGGCATGGACATCTCAATGGGAAACTGGATTCTTCTGCCCATGGTCAGCTCTAAGAAGAATTCCCTGAACCACAGCTGAGACAGATCACAGCATTGCTGCAGGGTTTCTTTCAGAATAAAGAAAGAAGAATTACTCTTCCAGAAATACATCAGGAACAATACAATTGTGATTCTGATGATGCAATGTGAAACAAAAAAAGCAGGTGTGAGTCACTAGAGCTATACATAGGCCAAATACGTAAACCAAATTCAAAACATAAAGCCCATGACTTTTCCACAGAGTTCTGAAATCCCCGTTGGCCCCCACAAGTGGTGCCTTGTTACAGAAAATAGTGTGGAAGTGGACCAGACTACCAGTTAAACAGAAAAACTATGAACGCCAGTAAAGGGGGATTTCTAGTTCACTTTCTCAGTTGAGGGCTGAGAAAGCTATACACTGAACTTGGGAAACAGCAGGCAAAAGAGACAAAATTGTACCAGATTCACCAGTACCATCTGTCCCTCTGGAGGACTGAATCCCTCCACATGTTCCTCTTGATTAGATGGGCAGGAAACGACAAACACATGAAGGAGGGATTAAAACAAAAAGTTTCTAAGGACACTGTCAAAGGCATGGGGGTGTGCTTCCACCTCTCCAGAAAACACCCAGCACAAGCCTTCTTCTGCAGAAGGCTTGAGAACCAAAATGGGAATGAACTGTTTACATTACGATCTTCTCAAGACCTTTTTAAAGTGCTGTTCCCCAGTAGCATTATGACTGACATAAAGACTCTCCTCCTTCTCTGAGGGTAAAGGAGTCCAGTAGCAAAACAAAAACGAAAGACAACACAGCATGGTGATGACAAAGACTAGATACATTCAATGTCAGTAAGTGAATTCTTTAGGACAGCATGTTTCCGATTACAATTAACTGAATAGTAAGAGTAGTGAAATGACATCAAATTTACCACAACAGAGAATTTGTTTCCTCTGTACTTAAAACAAGTAACTAAAAAAATAAAAAAAAATAAAAAAAAAACAAAACACAAAACCTACTTCCTTTTTAAAATTTCAATGTGTATAATCTTATCTGTCCCTTGTATATAAATACATACATAAAAAAGTAGAAAAGGGAGGTAACAATATGAAATTTGACGCATTATAAACATATGTGTAACAGTCAAAACAAAAACCCCACCACAATACTGAATATCAGGTCTCAGAAAAAGTTCGGACAGACCAAGGCTTTTGATAAATGAACCAAAGGTAAGTTGACTTAGGCAATCGGAAACATTTTCCAGGTCGTGTTAGAGGTGTTAGGACATGCTAAGCTGGACACCGATCATCTACGTATCTTACCACTGAAATTTATCAAATGAGTGTAGAAGAAAGACTCGCGATGGAATTTTTCTATGTCCAATATGGTGGGCCCCTCAAGGCTACTTCTCAAGGTTTTCTTGGAACCACTTTTGTCAGCAATGAGGGACTCTAACATAGTTCTCACCATGTAAAGCTGTATCATTAAAGGAAACAATTATGGTGGAAAGGGGGGGGGAAAAAGGAAAATACACATGGTACATTAGTTGAGCAACACTGAGAATTACTATCAGTAAGCGACTGCTCCACTTCAAATTGAAAACTGGCACTGTGTGGGTAAAAGCCTTTCAAGGCAAGAGGAACAGATGCCACGCTAGCCTACGCACCAGCACAAATGCCTACCCATGACAAGGGGACTTCCACTGACACTTAGCAGCAGACCATTTGCAGTGGAACAGTTCACATCACCACAAAAAGTAAAAGTAATAAGTAATGTCTTACCACCAAAGTTTAAAAGAGGCGGATAGATGTAGGACTGCCTCAGAAACTTGTGTGTCACATGCAATAGCTTTTCCAGTCCCAGAGACTTGAGCTGCTTCAACAGCTCAGCAGAGTTTAAGGACTCTGTCATAGTGCGAACCATGTAGAGCTAAAAACCAACAGACAGGGGCAGGCAGGGGAGAGAGAATCCGTTAATAAAAACACATGGGTAAATAAGGAAGGGGAAACAGAAACAGAGGAAACGTGTTAGTTTGTTAAAAACGAAAAGCAGCATAGCAAGCATGCAGAGGAGGACATACAGAAAGGTTTTTTCATTCAGAATAATCACTGCAATGCGGTGCTCCCTCAAGCGAAGGGAAAAGTCCCCATTCATTTCAGAGGACGCTCTGAGAGCCATTAGCTTCTCAAATGATTTTGCAAAGATTTCCAAGTATTACCAATTCGTACACAGCCATTTTAGAACTGCATGAAATTGAGAAAAAGCTGTCCAAAAACCAATTGACTTCATCTCCCTTCCTCCTGTTAGCTGAGACAGACAAGTGTGCCAACCCAAGAGCAGAAAAAGCAGATAGAACCATGTACTCTAAGCAGCCTGTTGCAGCCAGTGAACAGAGCCTTTAAACATACCAAGCACAGGAGAAGCACACTGGTAGTGATATTTAATTTTTTTTCCCCCCAGAGAATTGGAAATCGAATCCTTTCATTCCAATTCCCAAAACAAAAACCTTCATTAAACACAGCTTACCACAATTTAAGCAACTTTTTATTACCAAGGATTATTATCCATAAATGCTCTCTTCCCCATGGATTTATGGTATTAGAAGATTGTCTTTACAAACCACAGCTGCCTTCAGCTTTTCACCCAAAGTGCTCAGTACCTTATTTTCCCAGATGAGTTATGAATACCAGACCATACATTCTCCAAACAAATCCACAAAGAAAATAAAAGAGAATTATATGGAGGTAAGAAGAATGGGCATCTAGGTATGGGATTTCAACAACTACCACAGAAAACACACCTAAAATACATCTTCTTTTAGTGGCAGCAGCAGATTAAATGCATTTTAGGAAGCAGTTTTATCATTCATTACTGAACAATAAAAGGGATCTTGTCAGAAGTCAAATACTCTCCCGTATTTTACAGGCAATATTTATATTTTAAACATATCTTAAAACTACATAGACATCTACTGAATAATGGGATTTAACAAAAAAATTCACCAGCCATACGAGAGATGGGAGTCAGTCAAGAATTAATTCAAATAGTTCAAAACCATTATTTAAAAAAACCATTATGAGCTCAATGAGAAAATACTTCTTCCCAGGAAGTCAAATTAAAGAGGCTGAACACTTGGAAAAATTATGCATCAGAGAGTGACAGCAACCCAGACAGAGGATTTTGGTTAAGTATACATAATTTTGTAAATACAAACCTAATCGGAGTAAATTTTTAGCATTAAAAAATATAATAATTAAATTTTTCAAGTAGTTCAGGCCAGAGAGAAAACATTTAATGCAGTAATTGTTGACAGATATCACAACCATCAGACAGGAAAATACCTGAGTGCTGGAAGGTCCCACTGCACGCCTTGGAACTTTGATGTCAAAACCACTTTTGGGGTCCTTCTCTCCCCTTAGAGCTGGGTCGTTGAACGGCTCGTGACCTGCTTCCCAGTCACAGACTGTCTTTCTTATGGCCTGCAAAACACTAAATACAATTCACACTACTTCAGACCGATATACATCGAAGTGCACTGCTGAGAACATTTTATTTCTTTTAAGCCCTCTTCCACAAGCACAGAAACTTTGCAACAACATTTGGGAGCTCAGAAAAACTGAAAATTATTTTGCCAACAACTTCAAGAATGCCACATCCAGAAAATAATTGCCCCATGTTGTTGATCAAAAAGGACAGTCCAGAGCCCTTCCCCTCTGTCAGAAGAAAGCTGGTATCTTAGACTGGTTTACCAGAGACAAAAGTCACTTGATAAGAATTCACCTCTGGGAACCTCAGCAAGCACATCAAGCTATTTTGTTCTTGTAAACCACAAAGAGCAGATTATTCAATCAAACCAAAGCATATTATTAACCAAACTAAAAAGACAATCCTGGCTGAACTGAAAAGAAGCAGTAGAATTCCAGCAGAACTCCAGAATTCAGCTGGACTTTATATAAACAGCTTCATATTTCTAAACTGGACTTCAGGTATTTGTCAGAAACACCATCAGCCACATCCTGTGGCATGCTGAATGATGAAGCAAATGTCTTTTCCCAGATCTGAGCAGGTATGGAAGTAATACTGGCCTATTTCATGAACATCCCTGGGACAAAAAGACTCTCCCTGCAAACTTGATAGTTTGGAGCAATTCTTTTACTTTTAGCTTATGATGATATTTTTGCAGCAGTCAGAGCGTTTAGCAATAGCCTAATTAGCCAAGGACTTTCACCTCTAAGAGCTCTGCAATGAAACATGGGAGTAAACAAATGGTAAACAAGTCAAGATTAAAAGCAAACAATGAGGGACAAAAAAGTAAGGTCAGGAAATGCCACCAGTCAGTGTTGGCAGATGGAGCACTTGGAAGAGAAGTACAAGGCTAATAAGCCAAAATCAGCAGAAGCTGCGAAAGAGGACAGGATGCTAAGAGGGCAGAGATAAGACTATGAAGTGGGATGTAAACAATGACACTCAAGAAGAGTAAACACTGGAATCATAAGGGAGGAACACAGTAACACCTGTATTCAAAATAAAAATACTAATCTTGCGTTCAATATTACAGTATTTGTCTTTCTTTAAAATAAACTACAGGGAAGACAAGACTTCCTGCAGTGGTCCTAGCACAGCCATGTTGGCAACTATTCATTTTTTACTTTAGATTTCTTCAACTTCCCATATACATTCAACCAAGCTAACTTTGAATACCAGATAGACTAGGGGACTAAGGGAGTACAGACTTAAAGAGGCAACGTTGAACAGACATGAAGTTCTGCAACAGATTTAGTAAGATTTAGGGGAAATAACGTAGGAGAACATGAAAACAAGAACGTTACCTCTGAATGACATTTTTCTTCTTTTTAATGGCTTGTCTTAATGGCTCTCTAAGTGTGACCTGCGCGAAGTCCTGAAGAGCTGCATAAATGGTATGGCGAATGGCATGATTGAAAACACTTTCCATCCTTCCCATCAGCACCTGAAGCCCTTTGATCATGGCAATCACCTGGAAAAAAAGAAAAAAAAGGTGTATTTTTCTTATTTTGTTTGTATAATTTTCAAAAAGCCATTTTTTAATTACAGAAAATGAGAAAAGAGGAATTAACAAGTTCCAAAAGACAAAGGACAGCTTTCCTGTGCTCCTCCTACATATTGAATGGATTAAAACATGCTCTTTCAGAGTCAACATGGGGCATGCTGTCTTCTTGCACTGGATACAGAAACTTAAAAGAGAATGTTCTCCTTTGCACAGAATGAGTCTTTGGAAAAACCCTGTAAAAAAACCCATTTCTCTTACCTCAACCAAAGCAAACTTCTCCTCACTGGTATAATTGTATCTCGTCGCTCTTTCATACTCTTCCGCATTGTCAGGACAATCTTTATTAGAATATTTGTCAGTTGGGTGTACCAGCTTCCACGAATACTGCAGTTCACACAGCAGAATAGGGAGAAAAAAGTGGGGGGGGAATAAAAGACTGAGAAACAGCAAATGTAGCTGGACACACATAACAAGCTTTTAAGAAGTTACCTTCAGTGCTTTCAAGAATATCTGAAAAATAGTATCTGGAATTATTCTCAAAACCTGCATAAATTCTGAAACTACCATCCAGTGGAAATGCCAAATAATAATTTGCCTAACAAATTTTCTTGTAAGCCAGCAATTCTGCATTGGTTCAGACACAATACAATTCACATTCAGCAAGTAATGCACTTCAGGGTATTTTTGATTGAGCAAATGCTAGCACAGGCAAGAGTTTCTTCTCTACTTTAAGCACAAGAAACAGAGACCTCAGAGCATTAAAAAAAAATCCATTCCCACAAAAAGAGGTGCTTCCAACTTGGCCAGATATTCAAAAGACAACTCAAAAACCACATAGGCTTCCACAGGTTTTTGGTTGGTTGGTTTTTTTAAAATGTTTACTAGGCTTAAAGGTGTGGAAGTAGCTGTATCGTTTGTGACAATCTCATCTGCACTGCATGCATTTCTCTTGAATATTGCCTTTCCAGTCACTGCAAACACAGCTCAAAACATTCCTGAGCAGTGCCTGACCCAATATCCATCAGGGTACATATAGTGAAAAATCCTAGTCACATTCAAATACTATTTTCTCCCAGTTCTTGTTTAGCAGATAGTAACATCTGGTTGATATCATCTTTGCATATACTTTATATTACAGAGCAATATAAATTTGCCTACTATAATGGATTCATATTTGCACCAATTTACATATGGCAAAGAAAAGCATCACATCCTGTAACCAAAGTGCTACAGAGAGGACACTGGGGAAATTATTAAACAAAGACTAATCTGGGGGGAGCATTGAGTTTACAGGGTTAAGTTGGACATCAGATGAATGCTGAAACTTTTTATCTGAACATGATGCACATAACAAAGTTCATGGATACCAAGTAAATGCAGAAGACAGGTAAATAAGTAGGATACTCCAGATCAGAATAAATTCTCAGGAGGAAGACAGGGAGAAGGTGAACATGAACTTGCATGAAAAATACTTAAGGGAATTCATACAAATACTGTTCATACAAAGAAAAGCAGTGATAATTGGAAAAGAAAACAACCCTGCTGTGGTCCTTAGAAAACGTTTTTTTCTGGAACTGTGAGGATAAAAACAGAGCTAAGAATGAGAGACTTTCTGCAGAAATATAATAAAATAGGAAGATGGGCACTGTGAAGGGACAGCAGCAATTTGCAATGACTGGAATAAAGGGAGCAAGTCTGGGAGCTGCAGAGGACAGAAATACACAACCTCTCTTAAGAAGGAGAAAAGCAGAACAAGATTTTCACCATAAAATACATTGTTGATTTAAATACAAATAGAACAATACAGGGAAAAGCATGGCTCATCTACTGGCCTTTAAAAGAGTCAGTTAAAAATACGAAAGAGAAAGAAAACTGGATCTCTGTCTATGCCCATTGTGACAACACTGGATTCATGAAGTGTAAATGGCTTGATGCTCCCTCAGACATCAGAGGCAGAGGAGAAGCAAGTCTGGTTTCTCTCATACAATACGTCATCTGTTTCAACCCTTCCTAAAACATGATTTGGTGCAGGCAAGACATGCAGCTTTTATCTAAGTGTCTGCAGCATAAAAAGAACTCTGGCATCCTCCACTTCAATTTCTGCCTTAAGCAGTTTCTTATACAGTCTCTTTTCTAACTGGCACCTGTTTTTTAAATAAATTATTAAAATACAGAGAAAGAACTCTGCAGGTTCTTTATTTCCTCTCCCTCATCTCCTCTCAAATTTTCAAACGCAATATTACTCCTAGGACCTGAGAACTTCATGTGCCTTCCTCCAGGAATGCAATTTGGAGCAGGAGTTCAAAAGGAGTGAAGGAAGAAGGGAAGAAAACACAACATGCATTTTTCATTCCATTAAAGCAAAGTCTGTCCAACCTCAGTAAGCCACCTCTTTTTCATCTTGTTTTATTTCCCAGATAACATACCACTTCCATGACATGTGCACTCCACTGGGAGAGAAGCTGCAGGCCTTGGAGAGAGAGATCAAAAAGCTTCCGATACTCTGCATCTGTTTTTTGAGCTTCCTGTCGTCCAGACCCCGTCACCACCTAGAACATTATTAAACAACAGGAAAAAAAAACCCACATCAGAACATGCTGTATCCAGCAGCATGATTTCATTAGCACGATCCAGAGCCAAATTTCTACATAGATTTCTTTTAAGGATTAGAACAGCACCATGTACCAAAACATCAGTATCAGCTTTTTCATCTAGAGACTACATAGTTAAACACCATAGATTTTGGTCAAAAGATGGAAACCACTGGTATCCCTCATCACCAAAATATTGTTGCAGATGAATTCAAGATATCAATTATATATATGTTCTATACATGCATATATTTTTAATATACATATACACATGTGGGTGTTCACATGGCTTTGTTTTGTTTTGTTTTTTTTGTTTGTTTGTGTTTTTTTACTAATCTCTTAATTTTTAGCTTCATTTAAACTGTCACAAGCACCCATTTGGAGTAAGGGCTATACAACCTACTCTGATAGGGACATCCCAAAAGTTCTAGGGGATGTATATTTATGTATTCTAAATATATATACATAGAGAGAGAGGTAGAATAATACTGTGGTTTGTATGATGTGTCATTATTATATTACATTTAAATAGTACAAATACCATTCAGAGAATGGGTACTAGCCCTGCTGCCAACTTTTCTTGGTTCAGGTGATGAAGCTTTGTCATTTACCTAGCCCCAGGTTCGCCTGCACTTCAGACACTTAACAATAACTGTTAATCAGTGATGTGAAATGTGCACATATAGCTGTAATCCCACACACCTCACTGTTGCTGTAACGAGCCAGTTCTGATATGAAACGCATATGGTCTTCTCTGATTTGGATCATCTGCTCACATATATTGTATTGGGGACTGCTGCTGGAAGACGTACATGTCCATCTGTTTCAGAAGACAAAAAAACCCACCTAAATCAGTTTTAAGCAATAAACAGTACAACTGATGCTGCAAAAAAAGATCCACAATGCATGGCACTCTTGGGTATTTTTAGTCTTTCTCCCCTGTTTGAGGCCTTTCTTCTCTTCAAACCTCTGCCTCTGACCCTGCACAATCCGTAAGTGATGGACTGCCCTTCTGAGTTCGAACAGTACTTCTTCCAAGTCTTAAAACCCAAAACTTTTTTCTTTTATTTTTGTTTCTGTTTGAGGTTGGTTTTTGTTTGTTTTTTTAAAGGCTGCTGCTATGAAATAGCAAACCAGCATCTCTCCTCAGGAGCATACACTTAGGGACAGGACTGAAAGGGATTGAAAGGCAGGGCAGAAGTATAGGTGTAGACTGTAAGATACATCTAGCTATCTCCGGGCTGGTTTTTGTTATTCTTGTTTAAATGTGAAAAGCCTACAGTACGCTCCCAACTATAAAAAAAGGCATTATTAAATCCTATTAACATGTTATCAAGAGGGACACAAAAGACATGCTACCAGGACTATCAGGTTAAGTAGCCTCATATTTTTAGTAGCTCAGTAGGCCCACTGCTGTTCATTTTCTCTTAGCAATTACATGCAGGTTATGTGGTTTTTCTGCAGGAATTAAAATGCAAAGCATTACATTCTAAATTCATGTAACTGCATAGAGGGAAGGTTGTGGAGGAGCATGGAAATGTTCACTAAAACAAAGCAATAACCATAACCATGGAACCATTTATGGAACAACTGGCTGCCTTTTCCAGCCGTTTTGCTGTTCTGCACACCTAGCTGAAACAAAAGAGAGGGGAGACAAGCTAAGTTGCTGCTCCATATACAATATACACATGCCTATTTACCCATGCACTACTACTGCTCACCTTGCTTAGTAAAATCCTTCATTTCTTTTAAAGAAAGTTTCATATTTAAAGGAAAAAATAAAAATGAAATTAGTGTAAGATAAAATTCATTTCCTCCAACCCAGGTGATAAGAAATGTCACAGATACAAGACCAAGCTCAGCAGCATAGAAAGGTCTTTAAACAACCTGTTTCTTTCATTCTATCTATTACATGAATTACATTAATAGTGAAATACCCACACCAAAAAGTAGACCAAGGTGAAAATCCTATTAATTACAGAGACCCACAGACTAACAGGTGATCATGAAAATACACTCCAAGGATCTGACTCTTCCCAGCCCAGATGCTCCCTGCTTTGTTTCCTTCTCCCTCTTACCTGGATTTATTTTCCTCATAATGGGCACTGGTCTTAATGTATCTGGCAAGTTCAATCTGCATGTCACCAAATAGTGGGACAACCTGCAACTGCTGTACACATGGAATAAATTGGATTAGATAAATTAGTAAACACAAATCTTAGTGAAAGGGGCTTTGAGCAACTTGGTCTAGCAGAAGGTGTCCCTGCCCAGGACAGGGGGTTTGGAAGTAGGTGATCCTTAAGGCCCCTTCCAACTCAAACCATTCTATGATTCTAGGATTATTTACCCTTATTATAGGCCAAAGTGACCTTTATTCTATTTAATTATATTTAAAATGCAAGGGGAATTAACTTGAAAAATCACGTATTAGAATCACATCTCAACCAACCTTAAAGAACTTGTCTATCTTTGCTAAATTTATCCTTTTCTTTGCATCCAGCTTATAGATGTTGCTGACACTTCCATCCATCAGGTACAATCCGAAGCCCATAACCTGAAAAAGAAAAGAAATCAAACCTCTCTGCAAACAGATCTTAGAGGTAAAACCTGCTGCAGTATGACTGCTTTTCATATAGTTAAAAAAATAGTAATATTTTAAAAACAGTCTTGAAACACCCACCCTCCTTCAAATAGAATATATTTTCAAATACCTACATTTCTTCAGTATTCTTTTATTATATGCATATTAGTAGTTTTTACTTTAACATTAGCCTGCTCAGTTATCCTTAAAAAGTGCTACTTGTTTGTACAAAGGTTTAGCATACAAAAAAAGGTCACTGAACCTAGAGTATGGCTATTTTTAGATTGGGGCTTTTTTTCACTTCCATTTTATTAAAATTCTGTATGTGCAAACTGATCTGTAACAGAAGGTCAGATCTAACATGTCTGAGTAATTGCTTTTTATGGCTTTCAGCACATCTCTGAATTAAAAGCATAAGAGCTCAGAAATATTTAAAAAAAAAATCTAATTACATTTGCCCAAGTTATAATTCAGTAGCTACAATAGCAGGAGCTGAGCATTAGCCACTTAATGCATTCTAAGCATGCATTTACCGAACAAAAGGCCTAAATATGAAAGACACATTTGACATCCCTGCAGACAGAACACAAATGTTCTAGTGTTTGTGTATGGTTTCTGGAAGCTTCTATTTGGTCCTAATTAGGAGAGCTCAGAAGTTAAACACTGAAGTGACTCAAAATATTTTTCAAGAGGCAAATATTCAATTCTTACTCTATACATTTTCTTCCACTGCAAGACATACAGCTGATATAAACCACTTTTATATTGCCCAGCACCCTCTTATTACATGTACATATTCCAGCTAACTAAACTTACCTACTTCGTAACCCTAATTTTAAGCTACTTGTTCTCCGAAATATTTGGTACAAAGCCTCAAGCAAGCTTTTCATACAAACTTGCCACATACCTAAAAATAAAACATAGTAGTTCCTTTCTGCTCTCATTATACTTCCTAGAAACACAGTCCAGGAATTCAATCATCTGTGTCCTGCCTCAACCATTCTTTTCAATGTTGTACCCAAAAGAAACCTACTTTCAAGAGCATATGTTTCTCACTGGGTGTTAGATACATTTTGTTTTCATAGTAGTCCACGCACAAATTCACGATATCTGCAAGCAACTCTTCATAGCCAACAATCACCTCCAACTGCTGCTGTAAAGACTGGAAAAAAAGAAGAAAAGGATATTAGTCAACTAGTTATACTCCCTGGGGAACAACAGCTACTACCAAACTGGAAAAGTTTATTTTAATAGTTTTGTAAAGCACTAGGTATTTTGCAAAAAGACCATTAAAGCTTACTTGTGTTATCTTGTTGTGGTTGGCAAGAAACATGGAGAGGTTCTGGGATTCTTGAATGGATTGAGGATCTGCCATTTTCCGCAGGAACTGAGCAGCTCTTTGAAAACAGAAAAGAAAACAGTGTTTCCCTTTTGCAGGACTACTTGTAAGCAAATCCATTCCCTTCGAACAGAAACACACCCATCCCCAAATCTGCCAGGGGAACTGTAAGTTGTAAGTACATCTTCCAGTGCTAGTACAACAGCATATCATTTGCTGCTCATGCAGGACTGTCAACCTCAGTGCATCTCCCACCTCCAAATTCCTGAACCAAGCAGAAAGAGAATGTGGCCAGAAGCATACCTTCAAAGAAACAGAAAGGCAAGCCAAATATGTTTAAGAGGTCTCCAGCCACAACATAACTATAAAAGGCAACTACTGGTTGTAGATGTAGAAATTACATCTCATGTAAGTGGAAGCAGCATAGATTGGCTAATCGTTGTCTGAATGGTTTTCTTTATGAAAGACTATGAGAAAGGTGATCCAGTAGTAATGACAGGCAGAGAAGCCGTGTAAATGCATTTTCACCAAAGTTTTTTAGAGCACAAGGAATCAAGTGAACACTGGAACAGGCCGCCCAGAGAAGCTGTGGCTGCTCCATCCCTGCCAGTGGTCAGGGCTAGGTCTGATGGGGCATTGAGCAACCTGGTCTAGTGGAAGGTGTGCCTGTCCATGCCAGGAGAATTGGAACTAGATGATCTGTAAGATCCTTTCCAACCCAAACCATTCTATGATGCTAAAGCTGGTATAAAGACTGTCTTCCCCTGTTACTCTGACCATCATGTTTGACTAAATATACCTGGTGCCTCCTGGCAGCTCAAGCACAAAACTTAGCCACTGATACACCTCCCTCCTCCCCTTCCTTCTACAATCTGCAGTCACGACAACCTTGAACATCAAAGCTGAAATGTCTTAAGAACAAGGGTTTCAGCTACAAATGTCAAAAGTGGACGCCAAAATCAGAGCAGAACAAATAGTACAGGAGTAGTACAAGCACCAGCAAGCCAGTTTCCTCACAAACTCAAAAAGAAAAGCTTTACTGAGCAAAGTATATTCATTCTGTTTAGCGTACACCAAGTCAGAAGTATTTGATAACTTGGCATTAAAAGGCAGAATAACCTTTTGCTGCTGAAAGAACAGCATAAAGAAAACGGATTTGCTCATCGACCTAGCTGCAGTCAGTGCATCCCCAGTTCCAAGGTAATCTGTCCCAAACAGGAACCGGTTTTGAAGAGAAAGCCTCCAGAAAAAGCGCAACTGCTGCCATCTCGTGGGAGGCCAGTGTGCTGGCAGCAGAAACCCAGGTCCCATTGCTCCCTGCCACTTACCGCTTGTAGGCTGAATGGTCGTTCTTCACACTGCACTTCATATTTTTCAACTCATCCAGTACTGCAAACATGTTGATGAATTTGCCCAGCGTGATGAGATATGCTTCAGACACAAAGTCCTTCCTCCTCTCCGCGTGGCACAAGCGTCTCACCTCCCCACAAAATCGCTCAATTGCATTTCTCTAATGAGGGGGAGTAAAAAAAAAAAAATTACAAGAAGCAGAGAACAAAAAGCCATGAAATTTCCAGGAAAAACTTTCATCACACAACTGGAGCTGGTCGAGTGAAAAGCGCCACTGAGGCAGAAAAATGTTTGAAGTATGCAAGCTGTTCTGGTTTTGACTAGCAAGGCACCAGCACAACCTTTTCATATAATCATAGAATGGTTTGGGTTGGAAAAGACCTAAAAGATCATCCAGTTCCACCCCCCTGCCACCATGGACAGAGACACCTTCCACTAGACCAGGTGCTTAAAGCCCCGTCCAACCTGGCCTTGAATAGAGCACACAACTTCCTTGGGCAGCCTGTTCCAGTGCCTCGCCACTCTCACAATAAAGAATTTCTTCCTTATATCTGACCTAAATCTCCCCTGTTTAAGTTTGCACCCATTACCCCTTGTCCTCTGTGGAGCTGAACACTTGCTGTCAGCTACAAGTATCTGCAGTGATTTTTGCCGCAGAGTTTGCCTAGCACAAGGGTCAAGCTACTTCTTTGCAGACTAAAGTCATGAAAGTTTAAAATCCCTTTGAAACAAGTATTTCATGCTCTTTAGTGAGAAAGTGTGTATGCATTAAAAGGCAGATTATAGGTTTATGTTCCCTTAAAACAAACAAAAAAACCCTCTAAATTCCACAGGACACTGTATGTGCTAACTCTCAGTGTACATCCCGGCATGTGTTTATGTGAGGGCTTATTTCCAAGTGCTCATCAGGGCCGTTTGAGATGGAGATTACAAGTACAAAAAAGACAGCAACTTCTAATGTAAAAAGGAATCTGTTCTGACATTAGAGCACTAATCTCCTTGAATGAAAGGAGATTGTTTGTACTCAGTAAGATCTGCCAGCTGGGGAAGATGACAGGAAATATCACATTTCATTCAGTGTCCTACTTCCTGTGGGCTCTGGGGCTTGCAGGCTCTAGATGCTCCGGTTCCCTCCGAGTAATGCCTGGAAACATCCTCAGCCCATTGAACTAAATGGCAAGCTGCCAGCACAGAGGAGAAAGCAAGACAGCCTGCTATTCTCCAGTGTCCATGTAGCTCAAGTGGCTGGCAGGTCACAACAACTGGGTTAGCTTGCCTTGGTTAGGAATTTCCATAGCAAAGTTGCACCTGCTGCTCCGGAGTCCAGAATTGTGGATCCCTCACTCCCCAACAAATGGTTTCTGTACTGAGTTGCTTTTATGTATACATGTGAAATGTATTATACTTCTATTTCCTTTCTTTATAAAGTTCCAGATCTCTGTACCCATGTGCTACATAGGGACCATATGCAACTACTTTTGATTTTATTCTGAAAGTCTTAATGGAGATTGCCTGAATATTTTAATATAGGCATTAGAAACTCTGCCCTTATGTCAGACAACACAGGGTTTTTTTTCCAAAGTATAATAAGAGTTTAATATCCAAGCACACAATATCAAGCATACAAAAATAGGAATATCTCAAGCATACAAAGCAGGAATATAAAAACACAAACCTACTGGCAAATTTTATTTACATGCCTTTTACCTGAAAATACATAAAGTTCATTAGTTTTGTGACTTCTGGCTCCAGAACTTCCACAGTTTTCTCATAGATTTCTACTCTGTTAGGCTGCTCATTACACTTGACCTGAGGATAATTAAAAAGATCATTACACTTGGAACTGTCCTTCATAAAGCCCCAGAAACTTAAGATTCTGAAGAAATGCATTATCACCCTAATAAAGACAAACTCAAGGCATACATTTCTGGGTTTGTCCATTTTATGCTAGTCTTCTAAACTTAACTGTATGTAAAAAAAAACAAACCCAAAATCTGAGATTTTTCGATTGCCTCACAGCAAATAATTTAGTTGTCAGACACCTTTGTATGGTTAGGACAATCTTCTTCCCACATTAAGCCACTTGCTCAAAATGATGCACTAAACCGGGACCAAAACTAGATATTAATACAGATTACCTGACTCCCACTCTAAATCTTCAAACCATGGGATAAGCCTTCTTTGCATTTCAGTACAAAAATATTTGCATTAAAAGCTCTTTATAAAGCAGGCAGGTGTCAACTTATGGTTATAATTTTGTTCAGTTTTCTGATGCGTCTTAACATTCGTCCCACCCCACACTTGTACAACCATTCCCAAACACTTGAGGTTGACTTGCCACCTATTCACAGGAGTTTATTTTTGTGTGCAGATCAAAAAAAAAAACACTAGGTAGCTCTGACGTTTAGAAAATTACTATGTAGAATGTCCAGAAACTTAAATGTTTAAGCTGAATGTTAATTGTTACATGCTATGCTACTTGTAAAAGCTGTTCTGAATGTAAGTATTAAGATTGGGAGTGGGAAGGGTCCATTCTCTTGAATGAAATTTTGACCTCAAACATATCTGACAATCAAAGGTTTTCTGTCTAGAGCACATTACCCTGATACTTCTCTTGAAGCAATCAGTAAGACTGACACAAAATCCATGAAGTATTGCTATAGATACCCTGCCAAAAAAAAGTAAAAATAGTCCAACTGGTCCCCAAGTGCTAAAAGACGCTTTTCTATGGCGGGCCCAGCTTAACAATTCAGGAGTCAAAGAAGACTACATTTCAGAGATCATTGACAAAGCTCTATCTGCGCAACTCCACACTAAGACAGGAGTTCACATGTTCCATGACAGTATAATCTTCATCCTTTACCTGAGGAATGGCTCTTGAGCAGCTTCTCCATGTGTATAACATGACTGCATATTCCTGACCTTCTTCTAGCATTTCATTCTGTAAGAAAGATGCTCAGTATAATTAGGTGTTGTAATACAAAATGATCAAATCCGCTTGTCTTCCATCATTCCAAACCCTTGTCCAGACAAATCTGTTTCTCTCATCAGGATGTGTATCTACAAACACACATATATTGCAAGCTGAATGATACATCATACTGTATGTAAAATAATATTACTATAATTTATAGGCTTAGCTGGCATATTACACGTATCAGAGCTGAACAGCTACGGATGTCCATCTGGACTATAATCCAGTGGCTAAAAAAATTTCAACTTATTCCCAGTCATCTGTTTTAGCACCCAACCTAATTCTGAGAGAATTCATATCACCATCTTCCTACTACTTAATCCAAAAAATACCTGTCAGATCACTAATCAACAACTGCAGCAATTATGCTTGCCTCATGACAAAAGTTATTATCTCCCCAGATCAGATTGTTTTTTATGTTGTTCTTTCTGCCCCAAACTAAAGACACTGTGATCCACAAATATAAATAAAAATACTAATCTGAGGGGGGAGGGTGCTGGCGTGGTGTTTGGTTTTCTTTTTAAACTCAGGTACTGCAGGTAGAAAGGTCAAGGGTGAAAGAGTCAGCACATGCAGAGCAATATCCTTTTTTACATGTTAAAGGAGAGGTCCAGCAATATCCAAACAATCAAAACAGGTTAAGGAGTCACCAAATAATTCTAAAAGTAGACTGGTGGAAACCTACATAATTTTCAGTAGCATGTAATCAGGTGCTTAATCTGCCTATTTTACCATCTGTGAACTAGCCTCTAGAATCACAAGACATATTATTCCTCATTTTCCAAGAATGCCATGAAACAACAAGTTCAGTACAGACCAGCCTTTGCAGCCAGCAATTTATTTTGTCTCCCAAAACAGCTACACCATCAGGAGAGATGGAGTTACCAGCATGAAGTCTTATCTTCCACAGTGGAACTGTTAAAAACTGCAGAATACCTTACCCAGAAGCACGCCAATAAACCACTAACATACACACTCCTTAGTGAGGAAGCCAACAAAAACCCTCCAACACTACTGAACTGACGTAAAGAAGTCGTGTAAATTCTGGAGGATGGAAGGTAATTTTTCACTCAAGTTACAGCAGCTAGCTATCAATACAACTAACACCTCAGAATACTGGAAAAATGCACAATGGAAGGATCAACACTGGTTGATCAAGAAGAAAAACAATTCTAAAATTATCAAGAAGTACATGTGCAAAAAAAGAAGTGTCTCACGTTTTTTCATCTTACTGCCTTCTGGAAGTGTTGTAGGTAACCTGGCTTCTGGTTTTCTGTGGCCACAATTCTTATAAGGAACTGCACGAAAAAAGGTTCCTCTCTTTTTATTCCAAGTAATACAGAAGTATCTATCTGAACATCCACTTACCATGCTAGAATGGACTGTAGCTTGCTCAATGTATCTTGCAATGCCAGTGACAAATGCATTTCTGTCTTCGAAATTAGTGTTGAAGTTTGGCTGCAAAGAAAGCAAAATACAGAATTAAATCTTTGGTAGGGAAAAGAATTTCTATATAGATTGCAAATATAAACACACTTTGGGGTTTGGGGTTTGTTTGTGGGTTTTTTTGAAAAGCACATATTCTTTTTCATAACAGTAATGGGAAATGGAAAACCTTTCCTACAATGACAACATACCTGGTAAAGCAGAGATGATGGTGGGGGTTCAATACACGGTTGCTGATCTGGCAATGGTAATTCTTCCAAGAGGTCCACATTGGACAATGCATCCTCCAGTGTTACTTGAGCAGTCATTTTGCCCCTGGCTAAAAAAATACATACATATATATAGATACATACACACACATATAACTTTTTATGTGTTGCTATATACACAGAAAACAAATGAGTAATATGAAGAGCAGGGAGCTATTAATGTTGAGGAAATGTGAAGTTTCCCTTCAACCATAATGGAAGGGAAACAAACTGAAACCCAGTTGGTCTTATTATACGAGTTTTAAAAAATACTCATATCCTCCGTCCTTACTATTACAAGTTGAGAAATGTTTCTCTTCCCCCTCTGCTGCACACAAGAAATACATTAAAAATAGAGGAAAGGATGGCCTCTAATGCTCAGTTTTGAGCCAATGTGTATTCAAACCCTTATGCACAGATACTACTACCAGCCCACCTTCAGGAGACCTGGCTGCCAAAAGGTGCCAGCAGTCTCCAGTGTTTTGTGTCCTAGGACATCCAGATCTGCTTTGAGTGATAGAGAGGCCCCAAAACTCTGAGTCATGACAATCTCCATACACCTCCAACTGCTGCCGCTGCATGGGGTTTTGAACCAAGAAGAGCAACAAAAAGAAATTTTAGGAAGAAAATGTCTTGGTCATCCACTTTTGTATAATGATCTACACACCCTCCTCGGTGGAGTACAAAATTCCTCATTTTTAAGGCAACACCTCTAATCAAGCTGTCTCATTTTTTCTGTAAGGCCTTGCAAGTTATTCTCCCCAGAGAGAATAACCATGCACCTACTGTGCATGGAGCAGCCGAGCACTGCCCTCGGCTCTAACCAGCAGAGCAGGAACAGCAAGCACTCGCACTCCAGAGGAGCAGGGCCCTGCCATGCCCACATGCAGGGGGAATGAGCCGATCCCACCCCAGCTTTGCCAAAAGCTCAATGCGAGAGGGCCAGGACAGGCTGGCGATTCCACCACTCGCTGCACTTTTAGTGGCTTAGCAGGAAAACCTCCTCACTTTCTCTTACCTAATTACGGTTTCCTGGGGAAGCCCCACAGAAACAGCAGCTTTACCTCCAAGGAAGGGCTCAGCTGACAAAAAAACAAACAAAACCCAAAGCAAAAGGAAGGAAGCAACCAGAAGTGATTACTTCTTGACCTTCAGAGACCAACCATGCATCCTAAGCCATTGCCCAAAGCTAACGTACCGCATATGGAGAAAGCTCACCAGCAACTTGAAAGCAGCCACCGTTGCAAAGGTCCAGGGGCCTTTTGGCTCCTGAAACCACAGCCCAACACTTGCTTCAAGCCTGAGCATGTGAGTTTTTGTTAAAATAAACAAACACTCATATTGTGCAATTTGTGATCCCTGCCAAAAAAGGAGGAAGGACTGGACTGACAGGAGTGCTGGCTGGTAGAGCTGTACTGGGATGCTTGCCCAACACCTGCCTACACGCAGCTCAAGCTCCATCACAAGAACCACAGTTATTCTCAAGTTAGAGACCAGCAAAACCCACAGCATTGTCCCTTCGATAAATAAACAAATGCCAAAAATATTCCATGTCTGGCCAAAAGTCCTGCAAGGAGGTCAGCCTCTGAAGCTTTACCCTAGAGGAAATGGTAGAGTTGCCAAGAAGTCAGAGTATTTCAAATAAACAGTATTTTATTTTTGGTCTGAGTACCTATAGATCAAGCTTTAGCTAAAAAAAAAGAAACCATTTTACATAGGCTAGTTTAACTATGAGGCTCTTCCTCCTCTTTACCTCTCTACCAAAGCAGGCACCTGGCTGCGAGGCCACTCTGGGATGTGCCAGTGGTGGGACCGATGTGCTTATAGCCCTGTCTCCCGCTGCACCACAGGACAGCACTATAGAGGGGTGCTATGAAAAGCTTCTCCATCCATGCTCCAAAACCCACAGCAACTTCATACCTGTTCATGCTATTTCGGAAAGCATACCTGCGCACTTTTGGCCTCAGTATTTACAATCGCACAAGAGTAATCCTCCAGCATCAGCCCTCTATGTTCAGACTTACCAGACTCTGTGTGGATTTTCTTTATACGCTTGGAAAATAATTTAAAAATAGAAACCAAAGCATAAGCAAAACCAAAATCTCATTTCGCTTACACTGTCATCTGTTTAACAGCACAAGTCTGGGAAACTGCTGTTACCTGGCTAGAGTCACAAGCTAAGAAATGAAAGCTTCCTGCTACCCTCTGGATTGTGAAAAGAAATACAGGAAGGTGCATTTTTCCAAGCCCTTCGGCATAATCTCCTAAAGACAGATCAGCATTTTTCCAGCCAGGAAAACATAAGCAATTGGGCACAGACTGTTACAAAGCCTTTTTGTTTTAAGGTCAGTCGCTGACTGCTCCACTTTGTAATTTTGCCGAAGGTATCCCATGCGCCTGATGTTTCTTTGGCTAAGTTCAATGCCCCTGTTTTCCAGCTTTTTTACTCTGGTACCTAGCAAGACGTGAAAGAGGAAGCAGCTCCTTCCTGTCTAGATCTGACACATTTGCAAACATGCAAGGGATGATTCACGCTTCCCCTCTGCCCCCCAAGAGGTGAGCACCAGAGATGGTATGCTCATGCCATGTTAGCTAGGAGACCACGTCCCACAGCCAGGTGACACCACCACACAGTTCATGACACCTCCTTGCCTGATGTGCAACCTCTCGGGCCAGGACAGAAAAGATTTCCTTGAAGTTTATTCCTTTTCATCAGTTCTGAAGGAGATGAGCAGCGGGAGGGCCTGACTTGCTTAGAAATGCTGACTTGTGCTGCTGGAGAAGCTCACTGAGCTGCCTCCATCACATTTTGTCCACATGAAAAAACAAACCAAAAAAAGGCACCAAATCTTGAAGCTCCCTCAGCATTGTTTACATTTTTACTTCAATCAGAGCTGCATTATTACTGAAATCTATTCAGGCAAAAGATTTGCCAATCTTTTTTAAATGTCATAGTTCTGTACCATTGTTCTCAGCCATGCAGCTGCATGATAAGCAGTGCCCTGCTCACAACAAATAGCCTGGTTTGGTAGCTAAAAGGAGATGACTTTCAGTCCTAGGAGGCACATCATTTCCACATCTCCATCCTTACAGAATAACATCAAAGTCTTTGTAAAAGACCTATATTCTTAATTCCAAGCATATCAGAAAACACACAGTGTGCATCTCTCAGCCTTGCACTTCTATGCCTCTTGAGGCTTCGGACTACTTGAAAAAAATACGAACGGGAGCAAATCATGGGGAAAAGTCTTTTGGACAAAAGAAATAGAAAAAAAAAAAAGACCAAAAAGAAAAAAAGAATAAATAAATAAATAAGCACACAAACAAGGTAAGGACTGAGAAAGCCAAGAGTAAAGAGCAAAAGAGCATTAACTTCAGAATCACTGCAAGACTGCTGCAACACTATTCTGCTCTCAAGCTCAAAGGTAAAAAAAATCCCCCAAATTCTAGGGAGTTCAGCAGTTATTAAAAAAACTTTGAGCCTTTAAGATTTCTGCCAGTGACAGAATTAAGCAGGTCAGATTATTTATCAAAGAGAAGATCAAAAGAGAACTCAGGAACTCAGTCTATAAATAGCTAAAACAGGAAAATGATGCTTGATGATAGGAGATAATTCTTATACATGCTGAGCAGCAGCGCACGCAACCCAACAGATGTAACTTGTAGCTAGCAACCAAGTTTAAAAAAATATAAAAATAGGTAAAGCAAATGAACTTAAGTAACTTTAGGCTTATTGAGACCTTGTTATAAATGCAGAGATTGCCACACAGTTCCTCTTTAGCCTCTGCCACAAAAACTTGGCCAAGACTTGCCCAGAAACAGCCTCTAATGACCTTAAGAATCGATCCAGCTAAGCTTTAAAGACGTTGATTCCCAACACTGAAAGTTCAACCTCAAATAACTGGGTTTGACGACATCTATCTACAGATGAAAATCAAAAGCCTTCACCACAAAAATGATCAGATTAAATTCTGTGGCTGTGTTGACAAGATCAGGAGATGAGGATGGCATCACGTTATTACAAAACATTTAAAGAAAAAACAAAAAAAAAAGAAATCAAAAGGTATATTGAGCATCCTGAAAATATACGAGGAAAGAATGGGAAGTAACTCCTCAGAGAGGTACAAGAACAAATGCTGTTTAAATTACTTGCAAACTGGCATTATCCCATGGACTAAGACTGTCAAGTAACAATTCACGCGGAACACAGATGAACAGTAGAATTCAGTCTTTTGGTAGAAAAAAAGAAAAAATAAAAGAAAGCAAAAGTAGACAGTAACAAGCTACAGCAAAAACAACTTTTCTTCAGAAGACACTGATTTAGACTACTACACAGCAAGCAGAGTCGTACACTTTGTGGCAGTCATTGCTCTACTTTTTGGAAAAAGGAGTAAAAATGTTCAATGTCCCTCAAACAAACAAAAATAATTAAAATCTAAATCCCATAGCTGATAGGCATTTTTTTCCTCTGCATCACTCAAAGACTTGACACCCTGAGAACACCTAAGCACCCTCACCTTGAAATCTGTAAGGATTTACCCTCACATAACCATCAGAGTGGTAATCCAGCAGTCTCTCCCCTTGAAACATGGAGGGTTGCAGCAGCGATGAGCTGGACACAGTGACAATTTCGTGTAGAATAGTTTAGGCTGGAAGGAACCTTGCAGATCATCTACTTCCAACCACCATTTCCAGGTGGTTTTTTTTGTTGTCATCTCCTACTGCTGCATACTGGCAAGATCAAGCAATGGACACAGCCAGGTCTATTGCTACCACATGCTCATCTGACAGAATCACAGAATCGTTAGGGTTGGAAGGGACCTCTGGGGATCATCTGGTCCAACCCCTCTGCCAAGGCTGGTCCACCTACAGCAGGTTACACAGGACCGTGTCCAGGTGGGTTCTGAATGTCTCTAGAGGGAGACTCCATGACCCTCCTGGGCAGCCTGTTCCAGTGCTCTGCCACCCTCAACGTAAAGAAGTGCTTCCTCATGTTGAGGTGAAACTTCTTGTGTTTTAGTTTATGGCCATTGTTTCTCATCCTGTCTCTGGGCACCACT